ACAAATTTCAGTTATCGCTCCGTAATCATACCTCAGGGAGTATTCTTTTATTGCTCACTTGGGAGATCTCCCGTTTGGCTCCTAAACGAGTAATAAAGGAGTACAAAATCGACAAAAATCGTTTATTGCTCCAAAATCATGGCTCTGGGAGTATTCTTTTGTTGCTCACTTAGGAGATCTTCGATTTGACTCCTAAGCGAGTTATAAAGGAGGTCAGAACCAATAAATCTCCCCTATTGCTCCGAAATCAAGCCAAAATGAGTACTCCTTTATTCCTCTCATTGGGAGATCTCCCTTCAAGTTCTAGTGGGTTGTTCTGAAATATATATACATATAAGCAAATCTCACGAGTTGTTACATTTTTCGACAAAAACGTGTTCTTCGTCGAAAATGGAGGCTCACTTATTTTAGGAAATGCATTATCTTCAGTTTTGTATAAAGAACAAGATTCCAACGCAAAATTGTATTTAAATGAATTTTTAAAAAAGATATAAGTACTAAAAACAAGTAAAAACAAGTAACTTTTAGCAAAAAAAAACTGACTTCAACTCTCATATAAATATATATATATATATCTCATGATCCACTGATCGGATCTTAACCACCTCTGAGACACTACCTTTCCAATGCAAAAAGAATTATCGAAATCGGTTGACGTGGTCCAAAGTTATGCGGTAACATACATAAAAAAATAAATAAATAAAAAATAAATATTCTGACGAACTGATAACCTCCTCCGTTTTTAGAAGTCGGTTAAAAATAACCACTCATTGTCATATAGCCGTAGTTGCGTATGTAGCGTATACGCCCCGTAGCACCATATGTAGGCGTCTAACACGTTTACTCACACGCCTTAACTTTAAAGTCAAATTATTTAAAATTAATTAAATATTGACTTGGGAGATTTTTGCACAGTATTCCTTATACACATATACATACTTATGTTTTTTGCTTTCTTCAGGTATATACAAATTTTAGAATTAATTTCGAGTTTGCCAATAAACATTGTAAAAA